CTTTTCTCTTCTACTTACTGCTTGGGAAATCTATTCCTTTCCTCTGGAGTTAAATACCACTGTACTGTTGATGGCTACCAGATTTACATTATCAGCTCATAGCTCTCCTTAGAGTGCTAGAATCCCATTTGCAATTGCCTTCTCAAAAATCTCCATTTACATAACTCATAACTTATGTAACAAAAATTGTTGCAAATACTTTTTATAATAGTTTTATTGAGATAAAGTTTACATACCATAAAATTTACCTGTTTAGAATGTACCAGTCAGGGGTTTTAGTATGTTCACAGAGTTGTTGTAACCATCACCACTCTCTAATTTCAAAACATTTGCATCACCCCAAAAAGAAATCTTGTACCTGCTAGGAATTACTCCTCATTCTCCCCTTTTCCCCAGCCCCTGGCAGCCACTACTCTCCTTTCTGTCTCTCTGTATTTGCCTATTGTGGACATTTCATAAATGGAATCATATAATATATAGCCTTTTTCTGGTTTATTTTACTTAGCATAGTATTTTCAGGATTTATCCATTATAGCATGTAGCAATACTTTATTCCTTTTTATGACCGAATATTATTCCATTATATGGATAATGCCACAGTTGATGGTGCATACATCTTTTTCCTGAAGTTCTACTGCTACAGTGATACGGAATTAAGGCAAAGGGATTAAGAGGTACAAATGGATAGTTGCAGAATAGACATGGAGATGTAGAATGTAGCATGGGGAAGAGGGTTAATAATGTAATAAATATGTAAGGGGGAAGAAGGGTACTAGACTTAGTGGAGTGATCACTTTGCGAGTTATGTGGATCTCTCATCTATGCTATACAGCTGAAACTGGTATAGTATTGTATGCCAACTATAAGTGGAAAAAAACTCATTGAATTGTACAATGTAAATACAAGCAGCTAATTGTCTCATATTTCAATAAAGACAAAAATAGCTACAGAATGTGAAGATTAAGTGATATTGTGTAATTCGGATAGACGATAACATCGCAAATACTGATATTTAGAGCTTGAGTTGATTAAAAATTGTGTAATACTAACTTTTACCCTATTTCCTAAAAAACAAAATGAGAGGTCATACTCACTTTTTAACTTTCTGCGAATTCTCAACTACATTCTCTGCTTTTTTGGTTTTGGAAAGATAAGCAGGCCTTTTTGTTACTGTGTTTATGTGTAATTATTTAACCATTATAAAGGCTTTATAGACTCCATTTTGTATAAAGTATTTAATTGTTCTAGAACAATGGGTTTAATCCCTAGGTCATAGTCTAGTAAATTTTCTTTTCACAATTTGAAGTAAGACATTATTTTCCGTGAAAAAAAAAATCGTTATACTGTTTAAATGACATTATTGAATTACATTGCAAAATGCCACACCGTTAAGAGACAGAATTTTATTTTCTTTGTACTTTGAGGTTTGGTATTCATGAATGTATGAAAGTGCCAAACATTTACTTTAAAGATCTACACATAAAACTGTGTTTATTTGAATGTGAACATCTAAATAAATCACAAGGATCATCTAAATATTGTTTTAAATTACTATTCCGGGCACTAGCCTTGATTAAGAACTATAGCCATTTTCTGAACGCATTTAGGAATTTCCTAAAACAGATCAGTGTTTTCTTTGTCATGAGAGAACTTTTATAAAGAAGTAATAAATGGGCTTTTAAAAAATTTAGTAATTTCTTAAGGAAAATATTTTTGACTATAAGTTAATATGAATAAGCTGCATTTATGGAATCTTTGATTCTAAAAGATATAAACCATTGATGAAGAGTATAGAATCTGATTATGAACTTCACCTTTCTATGCCATTAGAAGAATTCTCTTGATGATTAGTATGAGAATTTAAAATAATGAGGCACATTGATAAGTAAAAGGTTACACTCATTGCTGTGTGGCACCCCCACTCCATTAGAAAGAATAAATGGAAATCTTGATTAGAAGATGTGATAAGTGAAGTTATATGGATAGGCAATGTAGAGGGGTATTATATTTAAATTTTGTGAGGTGTCAAATATGAGGTCATAGTCACTTGTTTGACTTAGGTGCACATCAGTAGAGTTTTAAACTTAAAATGTAGAAGGGAATGAGCACTTATCAGAACAGAAGGAAATGTGTGGTTAAACGGTTTCAGCTATAACTGTAGACTGTTTCCCTTGGTCCAAATGGGAGGAGGAATGGAACCTTATGTTTTCGGCTTTTTTCCAATATAAGTAGAAATTGGTTCAGCATGGTTGATTGGAGTCCTTAACAGGGAAAATGTGGTCGTATTTAGTGATGGAAGAGAATGACATAAATATGTACTAAGAAAGTTTTATTTTACAGGTGTTTCCGTAGTGATTTTTCTAGCATGTTTACAATTACTGATAGTCAATTATTTTTACTAAACATCTCTAAGAACAAGAATGCCCCAAGATTCTTTAGCAAGATTCTTGCTAAATTGAGTAAAGGAAAAGTTAATATTTCCAGCATTTTTCTCAAAATGAGGAGCTGTCTTACTAATTTTATCTAATTGTAGGTAGTAAATAATGCTAATTTTAGCTCAAAAAAGTACTGGGATTATCCATAGAAAATATACCTCGTATATAGGCAAATGAACGTCATCCATAGAGATATATTTGATAACCTGTAGTTTTGAAAATTCATTGAAATTCTGCTTCCTCTGCATTTTAAAAATCTTGTTAAGGCAGTAAATGATTTAAAAAATTATGCTGATTTTTATTTAGAAGCCCATGTTAAATTAAAAAAAAAGTTTAACCTTACAATAAGATTTTAAAGTAATTATTAGAATAGTAATTTTTAGAGTGGGGGAGATTATAGGAGCTATAATAAATTTTTCTTATTTTTTTACTGCATCACAATAAAATATTCACCTTAAAATCATAGCATTAGAACCTTTCCTTTCTTGATGGATCATTAATTGCTCTTGAGGACAATTATATTTTCAGGCAGTGTGAGAATTGATTTGATTGAAAATGAAAGTGATCTGAATTTAGAAATCATACCTACAGTGACTTTTGCTATAGGATTATTTATTTACTTGAAAAAAAATGATGAATAAATAAATGTAAAATCATTTAAGGTTCAGTTAAAGTTCTTTGCTTAGAAGCAATAGAAATCAACTCTGGCTAACATCAGTAAAAAACCAACCAAACAAACAAAAAGCTTCATTACTTACCATGAAGCTATGAGGTTGCTTATAAAACTGAACAGAAGTGTACAGCTGGAAGAGCAATGATGTCTACTTCAAGTATCATCTTACTATAGTTTTTACAAAATGTATAAAACTTCCTTTTAAAAATAATCTGGAAGCATTGTGACTACAAGTAAAATCCTGGTGAACCAAATTAACTTTATAGAATATAGTCAGAAGCTATTGTTTATGTACTTTCCTATAATCCTTAGTTTTATAATTATATTCATCTTTTTTTATTTTCTGAGAAAACCACAGTTTTCATAAGTAACTTTGTCCTTCGTTTTTCATGTATCTGATGGTTTATCATTGGTTATCTTTTTCTGTGTCTTAGGTGTATTTGAAGGCTCCTATGATTCTGAATGGAGTCTGTGTTATCTGGAAAGGCTGGATTGATCTCCAGAGACTGGATGGTATGGGCTGCCTGGAGTTTGATGAGGAACGAGCCCAGGTAGGGCAACTTCAGGCTTTGCTGAGCGTGGTGCCTTTATTTATCCCTGTTCTGCCTTTGTCTGGGGATTTATTTTACCCGGTATAGAAAGTCTCATGTTCAAGTGATACTGAGGAATCTTGAAGATGTTGAGACCTAAATTCTGGTCCTGGTTTTGGTAAGTTTTTCCTTCAGTAGCTCTAAATTTCATTGGATTACCCTTATCTGCTCAGTGGGGCACTTCAAAGTCCAGCAAATGGTTCTGTTTAATATTTATTCTTGATCTTTAGAACATTATGAGGAAGAAAAAAACAGTTCAGAATACAGTGTAGGAACAACACTTCTGGAATGGCTGAGTGAGAAGCTTGGCAAATCCTCTACCCAAAAAGCAATTATTAAACTGGACAAACCTGTTAAAAAAAAAAAAAACTAAAAAAACAACACACACATTTAGGGTCTCTGGACTTTAGCCAAAGGACATAAATTGAGAGGTATTTATCAAACAAAGCTACTGAATTTCAGTAAGAAAGTGATTGTCTGTGGCGTTTTAGTCAGGAGCTACTCCCATCTTTTTCCTCAGTGCTATGGTCCCTCCAGTTCTTCCCTGGGCAGGCAGGGCAAGCCATTAGGGCTGGCAGCTCTGTTCTCCTGTTAGAGGGAGCTGACTTTATTTAGAGCAACACTTGGAAAAATCCATCCTCAGAGATGTATCAAAAACAGTTGAAATCTCTGTGACAAACAACCCCGGAAACCTAATGTTGCAGAAAACAAAATGGTAGACTGGCCAGAATTTTA